TAAATTATTAAGGAAGCCAATCCAAATAAGAGCTCAATCGTAAGACTACTTAATCTATCCATGAGTAGCTCATGCTTCAACTATAATAATAAGGTATATGAACAGAAGCAAAGCCTGGCAGTGGGATCCTGCTTGGCTCCAATTTTAGCTAATAATTACATGTCAAGAATGGAGGAACACTTCATGGACTATTAGTTCGATTTATGGATGACGATTTTGCCATATGGCAGCATGAAAAGGAGAGTTTAGATAATTGCTTTTTACTAATTAATCAGATTGACTTCAATCTTAATTTGACGTTAGAGATGGAGATGAACAATAATTTACTCTTTTTAGATGTCTTAGTGATCAGAGCAGATGAGAAGTTAAGCACGGATGTCTATAAAAAGCCAACACATTATGGCTTTATCCTTAACTTATTCTCCAATCATTGTTACAAAAGAAAGATTGGAGCTTTAAAGGCTACTATTATTCGGAGCATAAGACTAGCCGATAGAGACCATTGTGACAATAAACTGGATCGGCTTAAAATAGTAGTTCTTGGGCATAATTATCCTTTAGGCTTGATTGAAAATAACATTCTATTAAAAAAGAATAGCTTTTTGAATTGTTAATAAATAAGTAAGGAGAGATAATGGGACCTTTCCCCATGTCCTAATTACTTTGAGCCATCACAGCTCGTCCTGTGTATAAGCGAACACAAGCAGGCACATACACATACAGAGACAGACACACTAACAGGCTTTGAGGTTGACATATGACCGTAACTAACCAAATCACCTTACACCTCATCAAAGAGAATATATACCGCTTTTTAGCGATTTGTCGGTGAGTCTTTTTGACTCGTTACCTTGAATTTGCTCGTGACGATGACAGCTTGCTCTGATGCTGTTCGTCAACTGACGGACGGAAACTCAGTACCTTTTCACCGGAATCGAAGTAGATTGCCTCGGAAACAGCGTCAGCATGAATGTTCCAGTAAAGCCAATCGACAGTTGGTCAAGAGGAGTCCGCCGTCGTCTTGTGGTGGAATCGCCGCTGGAATTTCTTCACCCAACACTTCCACTCGAAATGGAAGTAAGCACAACCAGTACAGAGGTTGTTTGACCTTATTTTCGCAACTTGGTCATTCTTAGCACCACACAACAACTCGTCAAAGAGGCAAGTGAAGCCGATCCTTTGACCAAACATGTACAAAACAATTGTGGTATCTCCACTTCCGTCCTGGGTCATTCGCGTTTCCTATATCATCCAATCATACCTTCACTATTACACCTTTTTACCGTGTTCATTCAGATATAGTGTGGTGGGCTCCTCTGAGCGGCATGACACCTTCACACTCCAAATCTCATTCTCACCCCCTCCCCCACTTCATCCTTGTGTAGGGAATGTTGATCAGAGGCTTAAGCCTCTGAGTGTCATTATGACCACGTCTCTGGTACAACTGACCGCCGTCTCTATGCTCTTTCTATCTCTAATACCAAATCTATGATTTGCCATGCCCTAGACTATTGTGTGTCAACCCACAAATGCTGCGGTACAGCTTGTTTTGATTTGGTTCAATGTTGAACCACAACGTTTGTGGGTTGGCACACAAGAGGCACACAAGAGGGTATGAGAAGTCATAGACTTGGTGTGATAAATAGAAAGAGGATAGAAACAGTGGAAGCTAGAGCTGGTTGGCTAACAATAGTCGTGATTTAAGGATCATGTGTATGATGAAACACGTCTATTGTTACCCAAATAGCATCAGCCTCCATCTCATCTTTCCTGTTTCTATCTGTAATACCATGTCAATCACTTCCTACGTCCTAGTCTCTTCTGTGCCTACCCACAAATGTTGTGGTTCTACTGGTTTCCATAAGGCTCACTGAAGACGTCTCCTCTTTGCTGCTAATTGTTGCTTTCTCATCCCCCTGCGATCTCTTTTACTAAAATTAAGGATATTATCTTGATCCAGACGTCTTCTTTTTGCTGATCTTCCTGTTGCCTGGTCTTCTCCGAGTTTGTTCAGGCAATATGGAAAGTTTTCGCTGATCCTGCCTTCTTTAAGTCTCCTGTTCATTAGATTTCTCTCGGTCGGTATTTCGATGGTTTCTCGGATCTTGCGTTTTCTTGTATCTTCACCACATGCAGCCAACCTTTCGATCGGATTCCAGTTGATTTCGTGCATTGTGTTCCGTAATTCTGATCTTTGTGTATCCATGCTCCTGCAGAGTCTTTGATGTTCCTTGGTTCATATGCCGATTTTTCGTCCTGTTTCACCGCTATACTTCTGCTCACATTTGCCGCATTGGATGCGATAAAATCCCAAACATTCAAGTTTATCCGTCTCCTCGTGCTGCGTTGGCAGACCGGAAATGATCATGCAGACACTGGACTCCGGACTAGGTGCGTTCCTCTGAGTCTTTCTGCCAATAGGACGAAGCTGTGAAAACAAGGTCAAACAACCTTCATACAACGAAATGAGACAGCGACCACACAACAACAAGTACAATTTAATTGCAGAAATTGCAATTATTAATGCTCCAGCTGATTGGGCGAAATAGACTGACTGAAGAAGCGACTAGACTTCGCTTAGGCAACATGGCGTTGCTAACGGGGATACCTCGACGACCTCATGCTTCTAATCCACCTTCCTTGTATGCATGCTACTTTCCAACTTCACACAGTGGAATTGTGTGATTCACAGACACTCGGGAAGCATCACACTCGACCGAGTTAGTAGTGAAGCTCAACCCGTAGCCCTCTTAATGTAAACTAGTTGTGGTATCTCCCGTGACGTTCTGCTGCATTCATTTCATCAACTGTTTATATGTAGAGTTTTGAGGATACCAGTAAATCAGTTATATGAAATACATTCACCATGAGAACACCTTCTGGGAGAGCAAGGCTATGTGAAATTCAATGAAAGCGTCAGCTCTCCTCATACCATGGTGTGAAAACACACTTACCAGACCTTTATCACGTAAAACGGAATATGGTAATACATCTCATGCACTACTTATGCTGCATTTATAAGTAGGTTTTTCGGGACTATGAGTAGAGCATTTATATATGATCACCTTCAACGAAATATGGTGAATATACTTCATTTATAAATGATCTAATAGTATTCTCGAATAGCATACTTATAAACTAAACATGAGTAGTGTATATGAATTGTATTTACCCTATCTGGTTTATGGTAAGGTGGAACTGAAAGTTGAATTTTCCCATAATCCTATGAGTAGACATGACGCTTCTTTTGAATTTCGCACGGGCTTGCTTTCCCAAGTGGTTTTCTCTTTCAAGCTGAAGGGGAATGTCGGTTTGACCTTACCTGAACTCGTCTCATCAGCACACAACGCGGGAGCCTGACCATGACAGTTCAGCGTATAACCTCGACATGTTAACCCCTACACCAGATTGCCACAGTTGACATTGGGTCAGAGGGCAGATGTGCATTTCAAGGAGAGTCGGGCATTTTTCCCTTTTATAAAGCAAGGCTATGTGAAATCAAATGAAAGCGTAAGCTCCACACTTACGCTTGCGGGAAAAAATTCAACAAACAGTCCCATTCTCACCTTAAACGAAACAGAGGAAATTCATATAAAATGTTTTTTAATTATTTGCAAAAGCAATTAATGTGATTTTTGTTCCAACACA